TTGCTGGCTTTGAAGATGGAAGAAGTGGGCTGTGAGCCAAAGAACTCTAGAAGCCAGAAAGGGAAAGGAAACAGATTCTTTCCTAGAACATCCAGAAAGGGACTCAGCCCTACTGACACCTTGATTTTAGTCCAGCAAAACTCCTTGGACTTTTTTCAGAACTACACGATAATTTGCATTGTTTAAACTGTTAAATTTGTGATAATTTGTTGCAGAAGCAATAAAAACAAATAGGCTGTCCTGATTCACTCATTTTTCCCTAGAAGTAAAGGTGACAAAACCAGCAGTATTTTTTTCTTTTGTTTTTTGAGATGGAGTCTCACTCTGTTGCCCAGGCGGGAGTACGGTGGCACAATCCTGCTCACTGCAACTTCTGCCTCCTGGGTTTCAGCGATTCTCCTGCCTCAGCCTCCTGAGTAGCTGGGATTACAGGCATACGCCACCATGCCTGGCTAATTATTGTATTTTTAGTAGAGACGGGGTTTCACCATGTTGGTCAGGCTGGTTTCAAACTCCTGACCTTGTGATTTATCTGCCTCGGCCTCCCAAAGTGCTGGGATTACAGGCGTGAGCCACTGCGCCTGGCCAACCAGCAGTATTTCATGCTAAGTTCTTTCAGGGTAATTTTTAAAGACTCCATGGCTGCCCTCTTATAATTTGGGTATAGCTCCTGGGATTGACTTACTCCTAATTGTCCTTGCTTTTTACATTAGTGTGATCACACAACTCCTTAGCTCTATCTTGCCTTACTATAAACTATCCTAATTTCTCCTCAAAAAATTAGTTACCTAGTCCACCAAGAACCATGTTACCTTAGCGTTTAATATGGATTTGACCTCTAAATACAGTTGATTTTTAACAGCACCTACCCTTTTGAGATCTCTTGACTATAATGCAGGGGTTCTGCGTGGAGCAAAGAGCAATTAAGCAACATGAGGAAGAATCACAACTGGACAACCCAGAGGGAAATTGCCCTGTATCACAGCAGTACTTCAAGCAGTGAATGGCTGCGTCAGCCCTGAGGGGCAGCAAGCCCATGCCTGTCCTTCTCTGAGCTAAGAAAATGGTGCTAGTGGCCTAGAATGGCTTTGAGGCTGGTAATTGTGAAGAAATATCTGCTCCTAACAAAAGTGCTCTCTCTCTCTGGCACATCTTTCTAGTACCTGTCTGCAAATTAGTATTGGTCTGTCTGTATCCTCTTTTAATTATAAACAGAAGCAGCTGAACTCTTAAACAGGCTTATCAGTAGAACCACTGGCTAGAATTAACAGCCAAAGGGAGTAAGCAAGTGTTGGACATCCCAGCTAGGATTTTAGCTGCTAAAAGAAAAAAAAAGACAGCTGTTTGGCTTTTTTTTTTTTATATATCACAAACAGTATTTTCATCACAGAGAATAGTTTGCTGCCTAGAAATTTAGCCCTTTTCACACAGGTGAATAGTTATTGTGACATACTGACTGCTAAGGAGTTTTTTAAAAATATGAATTATAAAGCAAGGCTTATTTTTTTGTATTGGTTTTGCCATTCAGTGTAATCAATGTGCTTTCCCCTTCTCTCAAAATAAGTTCTTCATAAAATTTTAACTGTTGATTAAAATTAGCTTTCTACACTTTAATAATACTAATAAATAATCAGCCTTTTAACCTTAGGCATAGCATATAATGTGTGTTATAATGTCCAGGTGGCTTTGTATTTTGAAAACATGCTATTACTATGGACTCAAATCTCATGGAAGACTTGTTTTCTCTTAACAGCTCTATGTGAATATAGGATACTGTGAGCATGGGTCTATTTCTTCTTTAAAAGTGGTTCTGCTCAGTTGTTTTAAAAATCTGATCTTAAGTAAAACTTGATGATAATATTATGCCTCGAAGTCCAACTGTGTACAAGGTACTCTTCAGCATTAAAAAAACTTAATTTTTCCAGTGCTGAAAATAAATTTGATAGGGACAAAAATAAAATATCAAAAGAACTGGGCATGGTGGGTCACACCTGTAATCCCAGCACTTTGGGAGACCTAGGCAGGCAGATCACTTGAGGTTAGGAGTCTGAGACCAGCCTGGCCAACAGGGCGAAACCCCGTCTCTACTAAAAATACAAGAAAGTTAGTTGGGTGTGGTGGTGCACGCCTGTAGTCCCAGCTACATGGGAGGCTGAAGCATGAGATTGCTTGAAGCAGGGTGGTGGGGGTTGCAGCAAGCCAAGACTACACCACTGCACACCAGCCTGGGTGACAAAGCAAGACTCCATCTAAGAAAGAAAAGAAAAGAGAAAGGGGAGGGGAGGGGAGGGGAGAAAGAAGGAAGGAAGGAAGGAGAAAGAAAGAAAATGCACACCTAATGCCAACTTAGCATAGAAAAATAGGTGAAGAATATCAAGGCAAGTCATGGGTTCAAATGACTAGCAAACGAGTGGAAA